GTTTTTATCACTAGAGTCTGCAAAATGCAAGTCCCTTGTTTAGATATCCTAGTTGTAATGAGTGACATTATTAGGTAGTTCTTCTATTTAAATGACATAAGGATTTAGTGTATCAGCAGCTTATAATAAACAAGCCCTTTCAATCTGATGACTCCTTTCCCTACACATGAGTACTTTTTGTGTTTATAATACAAGTGGTAATAGAACACCATATGGTTGTGACTTTTAGCTAAAGTAAATGACATTTAAACAAACAGAAAAACAGCATTAGGATATTCAAGGATTTGAACTATAACCTAAATACACAGTACACATTAAGGGGCTATTAGTGTTAACTATATAGACTGACCATTTTCTAATGCTGTCCCATTAGTGAGTTTTTCAGTTTGCTGATCAGTTTTTCAAAAATATTTTCCAATTTACTGTCAAACACCTTTATCACTGACATATTGCCCCATTTACAACTTCTTTTAAAAACACTATACCACTAATATATCCTGAGAACATTTTATCAGTTCTTTCTGAAATGTAAAACTGCTTCTATTGCTTAGATCTCTGCCAAAACAACAATGATGTTGTTATTCACACATATATATAATTCTTAAAAGAAAAATACAAGAACGTGGGAATGGTACAAACAGAGACAGCAGTTCATAAGCTACTGCAGGAAAACAAGATATGAATTTGTCTTGCACCCCAAAGGTAACAGAGATGATAGCAAGAAGGGGTCTAATTCTGATTATATTTAAAAGACACAGCCACCATGATTTGCTAATGGACTGGATGTGCAGTGAAAGAGAAAAAGAGTCAAGGAGGACTCCCAAGTTTTAGAAGCAGAGCAAGCAGAAGAATGGAGTCGCCATTGCTGCGATGGGGATATGTGTGGGATGAGCCAGTCTGGGAAAGATGATTAGGAGTCTGGTTTGGACACATAAAGTTTGAAGTGCCCATTGTGTACTACGGTGGAGATAGTAGGCTATTAGATTTATGATTCTGGAGTTCAGGAATGAGGTTGTAGTTGATATAAATTTAGAAGTTAAGTTAGGTAATATTTAAAACCATGAGACAGGATGAATGTGTGAGTGTATATGGACAAGAGATGAAGTTTAAAAATATGAACCCTAAGTTACCAAAGTTTAGAGGAACCAACAAAGGAATCTCAGAAGAAACAGAAAGACAGGGAAAAAAACTAGAAAATGTGCTGTCCCCCAAACTAAGTGAAACCAGGTTTTGAGAACAAATATTTCAAATACTAACAACAGGTCAAGTAAAATGAGGCCTGAAGTTGACCACTGGATAAATAACAGTGGGGACCCCTGACAAGAACTGTTTCAATGAAGTGGTGGGGGACCAAAACCTAACAGGAATGAGCTCAAGAAAAAAATACAAAGTTCCAGGCAAAGTGAGTAAACAGATGCCAGTCTTTCCTACAGGAGTTTGTGGTGTCAAAGGAGTTTGTTCATTGGTAAATTTTATAGGATATTTGTTTGCGGACAGAACTTATTATATTGCACACTTACTACACTGCAAAATGCCTAAACATTGGGAATAGGTTACAGTACAGATTAAAATCATAGCCCTGGACTATCACACAATGTTACCTTCAGAAAAATTATGAAGTGTTTTTCTTCATCTTCTCATTAACTTTATAACAAAATTTCACTATTACCTGAGCCCTGGCTCTACTATCCCTAGGAAAATGGAAACTACATTATATAGGCTTTCATAGCATACCTTGCTATTGTGCAGGCTATTCAAGATGTTTGAGCTGAGTATATTTCTTTTGAAAGTCACAAATTAAGCTTATATCCTAGTAGCCAATACTTAGCCCATAACCCAAGGCAAGAATTACTGGCCTCAATATCATTGAAATGAGCAAAGCCCACTGCAACAGCACCTGATAGGGATTGCTTAGTTTCCAAATGCTTAATGTAAAAAATAAATCATGGTTTGTAAGTATTGCTGCCACATGGACTTTTACAACTCCAGAATGAATAAAATGGTTCCACATCACTTAATCAACGATCTGTTTATATTCTTTTTCGCCAACTTAGGAACAATGCTATTTCTTTCATATGCTAAACTCTAAATTCTAGGTTCCAAATGACGATTTTGGTGCTTTGCTTTCTGAAGCACCTACTTAGGAGAACATTTTTAGGGGGTGAAGGGGTGGGGGAGGGGACCTGGAATTCAAAACACACTTAACATTCATCATCTTTACCGAGCAGCTCAATCAAGATCTGAATAGTAATGTCTTCATCATAAACAATAATGATTTTTCTAAGATACCTCGGTAAGGGAAAGAACCCCTTTCATAAAATACAGCACCAGTGTGCTTCAAAGATAACTGAAAAAGGGAACCCTCTAGAGGAGGAGACCCTGCAAAGGCTTGGATTTCTCTTCAGAGTGCTCCAAACTTGGATGAATTTTTGTTATAAATCACCTTGATTAATGGAACACATTTGCTAACGTGGTTCTGTAATAACTACACAATTCTTATTGCTCAAAAAACCCAGCCTAGAAAAACTGGTGGAGGCAGGGAAGCTTTCAAAAAATCACTGGCTTCTCTTTTAGGACCAATACTATCCCTGATCAGAAATAGTTCCCTTTCTTTTTAAAGAATAATGAAGACAAAAAATTTTTAGGGAAGCACATTTTGATGAGATGGGAGTATAAATAATAATAATCAGTAGGGGATATTTTGGACAAGCAGTATTAGCATGGTAAGGAGTACAAATTCTGGATGGAGCTGGGGTATCTGTGTCTGAATTCCAACCTTTTTTTCACTGTTTGAAACTGGGCAATCTGTTTAACCTCCCCATTGTCCAGTTTTCTCATCTGGCAAATACTACCACTACCAGTATGTTATTGGGTTGCTGTTGTGATGATTAAAAATAAATTAATCCTTGTGAAGAGTTTCAACAGAATCTAATACAGATGAAGTACATAATAAGTGTTGACCAAAAGTATATTACAATTATGTCTGTCACTTACAAACATGCAAACCAAGGTGAATGGAATATACCTAGAACAATATGGCAGTGTCCTCTAATTTATCCATTCACTGAACATAAAAATTCAAAGAATATTTTCCTTAAATAGAATAGTCAAAAAATTTACATCTTATAGTCCTCTGATTGTCTTCTCAGATTACTTAGCAAATATCTAATCCCCTGATATTCGTCCTCTAATAACCCGTAAAGAGAAAATAACAATTATGTGGTGCTTAAGTACATAGATAGTCGATGCCTTCATTTACATGTTTTGTTGTTCTACCTATTGATAAAATTATTTCTGGTCTCAAGTATATGCTTGTTGCTAAAACAACTTAAAAGTGACTAGAAGACTAGAATGACTCATGAAATGTTAACAGTCATATGAAGGTGAAACCATTATGTAAAATTCCGACATTTTTAAAGAACAAAGGGATACAATGTCCATGATGAAGGTCATAGAAAAATAGGTTACCTGATACTACACTATCACCTTCAACATTATCACCATCAGCTAACAATTACTAATATGTTTAGCACTGTGGTAATAAACATTAAAAACATTTGCACTGCTGAACCATAGTCTCTTATGGATGGTACATAAATAACAGATTTAGTAATCCATTGATCAAACTTACAAGGCAATCAGAGGCTATTATAGTTCAAAATAAATACACAATGATCAAGACAATTAAACCTAATTATTTGCTTAAACTGGGGAAAAAAACAGAGGTAAATTTAGTTAATAGATCTAACAGCTGCATCAGTAATTTGAGGGTAACACAGAAAATTTAAAGAAAAGTAAAAAAATTAAGTTACAATTATTAAAGTAGACAAGTATAGGCTGAGTAAACAAAAGGCGACCCCCCCCCCCCCACCACTGCCGTAAGCGCTGTCGCAGCAGCCACGTGACTGGTGAGGAGCTAAAATTGTATCTGCTCTTCACTCTTCCTTTCTGCTATTCCTGCTCTCTTTTTCTAACTGGACAGTAAAGTTGACTAGAGCAAGGTATATACAATTTCTATCCTAAAAATTTAAGTAGGATTTAAAAAGACTAAACTGCAGACTTTGATTTTACCAGATTTGCTGCTACAAGTCAGTGGAAAATTTTCTAACCCAGGATCCCAGTTGGCATTTAGGGGCATGTCTCTTCTGTCTTTTCCAATCTAAGACACTTGGCTTTCCTTGTTTTTCATGACCTTGACATTTTTGAAGAGTTTTAGTCAGTTATATTGCAGAATGACACTTAGGGTTTGTTTGATATTTTCTCATGATTAGACTGAGGTTACACTTACTTTTGCAAAAATATCACAAAAGTGATATGCACCTTTTTTAGTACTTCACTTCAGGGGTTATATTATGTTGACATGTCTTTTTACTGGTGAACTTAACCTTGATCACTCAATTAAGGTGGTGTCTGACAGTTTCTCCTCTACCAACTACTATTTGTCCCTTTGCAATGAATATCTTGAAAGAGATACCTTGAGACTGTGCAAATAAACTATTTCTCTCAAACTTTCGCCCAAAATTTTGACATCCGATGGTGAATCTTGCCTACAACAATTATTACTGAGATATTTATATTGTATGTTTTTCTTTTTCTTTTTTTTTTTTTAAAGATTTTATTTATTTATTTGACAGAGATCACAAGTAGGCAGAGAGGCAGGCAGAGAGAGAGAGAGAGAGAGAGAGAGAGAGAGGAGGAAGCAGGCTCCCTGCTGAGCAGAGAGCCTGATGAGGGGGTCCTGGGATCATGACCTGAGCTGAAGGCAGAGGCTTTAACCCACTGAGCTACCCAGGCGCCTCTATATTGTATGTTTAAGAAGGGTTTTAAAAGAAACTAAAATATATAAAAAATAATGGCCAAATTGTTCTGGATACAAACATACTTAAATTCTACTGAATGCAGCATTTTAGTTTATATTCAAAATGTGAATTAAGTTATTTTCTTTTGTCAGTGTGTTCAGTTAATGTTAATCAATGAATAACAATTAAAATGTTACTTACATAACTATGGCTTTTAAAGAAATCTGATGGACTATTGGTGAGGATTTTGTCTCCTTCCAAGCCAATTACTCTTTTACAAATGTTTGATTTTGGATCAGTCGGGCTTTTTGCAATGACAATGTCACCTCTGAGGGGAAAAAAGTCAAAAGAAAGGTCAATGTTATTTATTAAACATTAATACACGGACAGCACTGCTATAATACTTGTATAACTTAAAGCCACACCCTTTGTCCTCTCACATATTGACCCTCTCATATTACCAGCTTTGAGAAATTTTGTGACTGAGTTTTATGGGTCAAAATCCACCAAGAGTAGTGGAAAAGCTCTTAGAAGATTTTAAAATTTCTGGTAATACCATAACAACCATCTTCTTATACTTTATCCACTATGTGTAACTTCTGTATCCAAATTTTTAAAACCAAAAGTATAGAAAAGCAATTCCACGTAAGTACCAACAAATTAAGTAAATTTTACTGTCCAGCCATTAGTACTGAAAGTAAATTTTACTGTCCAGCCATTAGTACTGATTGCCTCTAGAGCACATAAAAACATAGGGACAGCATAAATATTTCCCTAGAGCTCAAAGAATGTATACAGCATACCCAGATAATTTACAGTATAGTTAAAAAAACTTATTTTTGAGGAACAATATCAGAAGACACAACCAAATAAAATGCTAAAAGCTGCCCAAACATATACTACAAAAATAAATTGGTATATCAAATATATAATAACAACACAGTGGGTATGATTACATGTAGAAGGCACGATTCATGGAAAAAATAAAAATATACATGTATTAGAAGAATAAGAAAGACCTTTAAAAGTATAAACGAAGGAGACAAAATGGAGGAAGGACAAAATAGGACTAAGCACCCCAACCAAACAGAACACAACACTCTTTCTGAAAAAAAAAAAAAAAAAGAGTAGTAAGTGAATTCTGTTGACTAACACACGTATTTGAAAGGATTTAATTATCTATATTATGTGTACATAGTTCCACAATAATTTGATGTCACTTATAATAAAAAGTGAATATATCAAAATATCAAAAGCCATAAAAATAAAAGGAAAGTAACAGTCAAATCAGAAACCTAGTTATCTCTACATATAAGTATTAATAAGAATTCTAAGCTTCTTGGTTCTAAACTTTGTTTTCATTCTAAAAATGAAAATCTGATTAATTACACAGGAATGATTAACAAAGTTTAGTTTGGGAGGTAAAACAATTATCTTAAACAACTAAATCAAAGAGGAATATACAAGAAGGATTTTGATGTAAGGTAATAAAAGACACCATCCATACTCCTAAGAAATTTTACAGTACTCATATTCACTGGAATGATAATTTCTTGTGGTTAGAGTTGAAAGCTATTAAAATACTAAATTCTAGGGCGCCTGGGTGGCTCAGTGGGTTAAAGCCTCTGCCTTCAGCTCAGGTCATGCTCCCAGGGTCCTGGGATCGAGCCCTGCATTGGGCTCTCTGCTCAGTGGGGAGCCTGCTTCCCTTCCTCTCTCCCTGCCTGCCTCTGCCTACTTGTGATCTCTATCTGTCAAATAAATAAATAAAATCTTTTAAAATAAAAAAAAAATAAATAAAATAAACACTAAATTCTGTATTTGCAGGTAATACAAGGCTGCCCTTTTTTTGAAATGGGATAAACCAGTCTCTTTTCAACCAAATGGAACCATGTCAATGAAACTTTCAGATGAATAAGTTTGCAAAGATCATACTAAACAAAGCTGATTTTGGCTAGCTTTGGGGAAAGAAATGTTTTCTGTGGGTGTTTTATTCAGCTTACATTTTTCAACAAAATAATCAACATGATCCTTAAAACAAATTCTGAACTTACATGGTAACATAAAAACCATAATTCAGTCAAGGTGGTTTTCTAATTTTTTTTTTAATTTTATTTATTTTTTTAATTTCAGTGTTCAGAATTCATTGTTTATGCACCACACCCAGTGCTCCATGCAATACATGCCCTCCACAATACCCACCACCAAGCTCACCCAACCTCCACCCCACTCCCCTCCAAAACCCTCAAGTTAGGTCCTCAGATTCCACAGTCTCTCGTGGTTCTTAGATGTTTTAATTATTTAAAAAAAAAATTTTTTTTAATTTTAACTTTTTTACTTTTAAGTAGGCTCCACACCCAATGTGAGGCTTGAACTCATAACCCTAAGATTAAGAGTCACATGGTCTACTGACTGAGCCAGCCAGGTACCCCTCAGTTAAGGAGTTTTTACGGAAACCAATATTTACGCAGACTATACTTCTGGTGGTATAACTAGATATATGCATAGAACTTAGATTGAAATAATTATTCCCTGGTTTCTCAACTCCTTCAAATAGGCTTTTAAAAGGAACTTAATAGAACAAAGATTTAAATATTCCTCTCATTTATAGTTATAAACATGCTTATTATCCAACTAAATCGTAAGCTTTTGAAAAGGGTCAATATTTTATTCATCTTAACATTCTCTGTACTGCACATCATATCTTATAAATTAGGTGCTCATTATTTGGTGAAAGAATAAGTAGTAATAGTAGTAATAAGAGACTCTGATTGTTTTAAATATGAGTGTTGTGTGCATTTAACTGAAGAGATCCAAGAGCTTTAGGTACCAGTTATGCAGACTTTCATTTTTGCCTAAATGGATGGCTATTTTAACTTTTTTTTTTTTTAAGATTTTATTTATTTATTTGACAGAGATCACAAGTAGGCAGAGAGGCAGGCAGAGAGAGAGAGGAGGAAGCAGGCTCCCCGCCAAGCAGAGAGCCCGATGCGGGGCTCGATTCCAGGGCCCTGGGATCATGACCTGAGCCGAAGGCAGAGGCTTTAACCCACTGAGCCACCCAGGAGCCCCTATTCTAGCTTTAGAAATAAGCAGCTAGCTAACAGATCTCTTGTCAAAGGTCAGAGATTCCCCTGAAATCTCAGAGTTCTATGCTACAGACAAAAGAAAAAGAATACTCAGAACAGTAGTATTTTTAAAGTTGAACTTACCAACTGACAACCTTGATTGTAAAAGTTATTTGGTATATGTCATATAAATGCAAGATTTTAAGCTGTCCCTCAACCTAAGGGCCCCCTGACTAAACAAAATACAAAATGAAACCTTCTAAGAATCTTAATTAAGTTACTGAATGCAGTTACTTATATTACCCATCTGAGTGCAAAGATTATCTATTAAAAAAAAAAGATGATATTGAGCTATTCATTCAAAATCTATTTAGCCAGCAAGTTCAGCTCCTTGTTAAGAATGCTTAAGGAGTATGAGAGTAAAATCATGTCATTAGCATGGAAAACAGCAGCCTATCTTCATGCTACAGTGATGCTAGGTCTCCAGTTAATCCAAAGACTGTATGAAGTGATTTGGATATAAGTTAAAAAGGAAAGAAAGCTAGAACACAACCTGTTATGTAAGTCTTATTTTATAACCCCATAACTATCAATTAGGTGTCCTGAAGTCACTATGAGTAAAATATCTGAAGAATTTTACGTAGGACGATGCTAGAATATACAGCTTGACCAAGAGATAACTTCTATCTACAGAATCAAAAATGCAAAGAACAGTTTTACACAATTCTTGATGACTTTTAGGTAATGTGAAACAGACTACAGAAGAGGCAAATAACGAAAGAGGAGTGCTTAAACCTACTTAAGCCATAAGCTAAATACCAACTCTAGTGAGTCAAATTTGAAGTTTATGGAAATGAAAAAGTGGTATTATTTTTTTCAGAATTATGAAAAACTAATGAACCCAAAATTTTAGGGAATTAGAGAGGTGCCCTTTAGAAAATACATTAAATTACTAATACTTGACATTTGTTCAGAAGGAATAATACATATGTAAGTAGAATAAACAGTATGACTGCGACTGGAAACACCATTTAGAATAGGATTTTTAAAAACTTAGTGGCAAACAGTATTTGTCAAGAAGTTTTTCAACTTAAATAATCAGGAGACTGAGATTACATAAGATTCCTGGGTCCCAGCTCTATATGGCTCTATCATCTAAAAATAATCATTTTAAATTAAAAAAAATTTAGAAGCCAATCACTGGTTTGGTATATAATGTTCCTAAGTCCCTAGGTTCTTCACTCAAAAGGCTGTAGAGCCACCCACCCCCCACCAAAAGTAAAGTAGGCTTGAATGTACATTATAAAAGGGACTGCTATTCTATTTTAGCCAACAATGACTGAGCATGTTTACAGAAACTATTAAAATTTCTTCAACTGAGGGACGCCTGGGTGGCTCAGTTGGTTAAGCAGCTGCCTTCGGCTCAGGTCATGATCCCAGCGTCCTAGGATCAAGTCCCACATCAGGCTCCTTTCTCTGCAGGGAGCCTGCTTCTCCCTCTGCCACTCTGTCTGCCTGTGCTCTCTCTCTCTCTCTCTCTGACAAATAAATAAATAAAATCTTTAAAAAAAAAATTTCTTCAACTGAGAGAAAATATGTGAATCAAAATTTTAACTAGCTGGTCATTAATTTGGTTATTTACAAAAGAGTTTTTACAGATAAGCTACAAAAAAGATACAATGTGTATACATGACTTCACTATAACTTTAATATATCTATGACAGAAATTTACCTTTGGATACCATAAAAATGTCGACTAAGATTTTCTGCAAAGACAATATCTGAATTTTGAATTGTAGGTTCCATTGATGGTCCAGAACACTGAAAAGAGAGGTAATTTTTTAAATTTGAACTGAAACCCTTTTTCAATGTAACATAAATCAATGAGTAGGCTTTTAAGAAAAAAAAAATCAAACAAATGTTCTTCAAATTTGGAGGTGATTTATAAGTTTATAAGTTTATACGTTCAACCCTACAGTGGCCACCTAATCTGGAAACACAGGTAAATATATTAAAAATAGTTTACCAAGAATACATTACAATACATGAATAAAATATCTATGTTTCCAAATTTTGACTACCCTGTATAATGTAAGCTCCATGAGGTCAGGGACCTTAAAACTCATGTTCCCAGTTACATAACCAATGCCAAAAACAGTGCTTTGCATAAAGCTGATAATAAATATTTGAATAAATAAATGAATGACTTATTTATCTTCTTGCTATTATCAAATACCCACTGCCCATGATGGTAATTTACTAAGTAGTATCGTACTATTCTCAATAAGTTCGTGCCTTGAGTTCTCTTCCAACAGAATAGCTTACTCATTTGATGGGGCTGCAATTTATTTTTTCTATTGAAAAATAGTGGCATAATGAGATGCATTTTAAAGACTTCCTATTAGTATGTGTTAAAACAATGATATTCATATATACCTCAAAACTGTAATAAATGATCACCACTTAAAATATCTAAATACAGCAGTCTCCACTGATTTCACTTGGGCATTGATAAAAAACTTTTTACTCAAAAATATCCTACTAAGGCAGAAATAACAAAGAACACAATGAAAGTTTGTATCTGCTACCTCTGTAGCCCCTGGAAGTACTAATGTAAATTTAAAAAATCAAAGAGGAGACTTTCAATTAACTATATTTATCTGCATTTCTCCAGCTAAATTTGAGGTTGTATGACTGTGAATCCTTTAGGGTAAACCTGATAAAAACCAACAAAACCCACTCACTAGACATTCAATTTATTCTTTCACTTACATGACAAAAGATTAGTACAGTCAAAGTTGATGGATTTATGATGCAATATTTAGAAAAAGCATTGGTTGGCGGGGGGACAGCCTTAACATTTTAATATTGACAGAAGGCAGAATAATTATTTGTTTTAATGACAGTTAAATACAACTAGTTAAGAGCAGGAGTTTTGAAAATTGGGAGAATCTGTGTTGAAACTCCGAATCTATTTACTAACTGTGGAACTTGGAGCAAGTTACTTAAGCTTTCTGAGCCTCAGTTTCCTCATATGTATAATGGATTTCTAATAAGTATCTCACAGAGTAGAAAAGATTAAATGAATTAATAAATATAAAACATAAAACATCACTGGAACACAGAAAGTAGAATTCAATAAATGGTAAAAAACTATTATTAGATTATTATTTAATAGGGCCCCTGTCAGAATAAAACATAATACAGAACTGAATCTGCAGTAATGGTTCTTAATTTTATACCAGTGCTGATTCCAACATAGTCTCTTATATACCAAAATTTAGAAAGATTTTATGTTTCAATAGTCACAATTTAGTCATTAAATGACTTCAATTAAAATAAAGGAAAAATACATTTTCCTTCAATTAAAAAAAGTACATACTTAAAATTATTATTTTCTTTTATGTAAAAACTTACCATGACAACACCACCAATGTATTCAAAAGCACAATGAGCTATACAGCCATACTGAATAGTATAGCCAATAAGTCGAAACGTTTTTCCCAGAACACCACGAAGCATAGTTCTATGCAGACTCTGCCACCACTGGCCTGATGGTAAATTTCAAAAAGTTTCATAATCAATACTATTTAAAACACGAAACAACTCAACTGTAAAATATTTACAATCACCCAGAATGTAGTAAATGCCTAATGCAGTTTGGTGCAGAAAAGCAAGAGCTTATTTTCATTTGTCCTAACAATATTTTAAATGGCAAATTAAAACCGCTTAATACTTTGATCTACTGAATAGAGATTATATTCAGATAATACGACTGGGTTTACATATAAATTAGATAACTAGTAAACTCTTATTTTATCTGTCTCCTTTCATGCTTTGATTTTTTTCTTGGTATTAATATAAATACCTAAGAAAAGATATTAACTCTTTCAAAGTACTAATAATAGTTTTTCATACTGTTGCCTGCTATACTTTATCAGCTCTTGCCATAATATAATACGACATGAAAGAGAAAGCACTAGAATGGGTATATGGAAATTCAAGTAGTAAACTGATACTTTCATTAACTTTTGTGATCTTCAATGACTTACTTAACCTCTCTTGGCCTGGAAATAATATCTTATAGAATGATTCTGAGAATAAAATCCATTAACATGTCAAAGTGCTTTATAAATTACACAGTTACATTCAGTTGTCAGCTATTGATTATTGATACAATAATGAGCACATGAATACTATGAAATAATATAAAGAACTATATAGATTTTTTTAAAAGCTCCATAAATAGTTAATATTATTCATCTAAAATATTCCTACGAATCTGTCCTTTCCTTTCCATTTACCTGTTACAACTGTGTTTCAAGAATTTCTCAACTAATAGCCTAAGGTTTAGGCCTAGACTACTATGCACTGTTCTCAGATTAAATTTACTGAAACAAATCAGTAATAATAACATATAACATTGCTCAATACTTGCTATATGTCAGGCTTTACAAATTAACCTCTGCAGATATTATTACCATCCTCATTTTACAGATAAGGAAAAGGAGGCTAAGAATAGTAAACTTATGTACTCAATATCTCAAAGTTGGAAAATGATGGAGTCAAGAACTTAATCATTATGTTAAACTGACTTCTGTATTAATTACTCTCCTGCTCCCATAACCTCAATGGCTCTCTCCTAGATGAAGTACAGATTACTTAGGCTCATTTTCAGGATCCATGACAGATGGCTCCCATCCCATCCTCGTTTCCAGCCTGATCTTCCCTGATACTCCTACATGATCTGACCAGTCAATAATATTGGTTTGTTCTTCAAGTAAACAAGTGCCAAGGAACACTTATGTCAACACCCATGCCTGGAATATTCTTCATGATATCCTTCATCTATCTAATTAGTAACTCTTCTCCAAATGCTCTCAAGAGGCAAGATTTTCTTTCTCTTCTCGGTTCCCATGGGTCTTAATGTTTTTGTTTTTTTTTTAATATATGGCATTGAGAGCACTTTTTCTGAAGTTTATCTGCCTGAATTTGGAAGCTGGCTCCACCATTTTAGCTGTATGACCTCCAGGAAGTTATTATGCTTCAGTAAGTCTCAATGTCTTTATCTGTAAAATGGACTTAATACCTATCTAAGAGAGTTAGTGAGGATTATATGCAATTAGACATGTAATCTGTGTTGCAGAGTATTTCGATAAATGCTAGTTGCTGTATTATTCACTTGGCAATCCACATATGCTCTATAGCCTCTTAACATTAGTTGCATTTTCAATTATCTAAGTTTCTTGCTAACTGATCTTCAAATAATAGAATTTTATAGCCTACAGCTCAGGACTATATCTTTTTTTTTTTTTTTTTTTAGGACTATATCTTTTATTTGTGTTATATTACTTATTAGTGTTCATTCATCTATTAAACATTTACTATATCTCCTCCTCTAACAAGTTTTCCTTGGCACCCTCCCACGAAATGTTACCTATGCTTTGTGACACTCACCTTCCCTAGGCATACACTGATTAAAATGTTTACCACACTATATTGTTTATATTTTTTCCCTTATTACACTACATTTGTTTATATGTCTGTGGGCAATGACTGTGCTAAACATGTTTGAATCCATTGGGCCTACCAAAGAAGACAGTAAACAGAAGGCTTATCTGAGGAAATTAATGAATAAATTTTGAACCCAGTCTCCTATTACCTTCCATATCTTCATTATTATAGAATGGTTATAATATTCAAAATGATGCGAAGACCGCTGGAGATTTTAATGAAGAGACATGTTAATGTCATATTCACTGACAAAAGAAATTCTCAGTAACATCTTAATAAGTCTTCTTATTAAATCATTCAGGTAATATGGAAAAATAACTTCTCTCATCCAGAGGGAGGAATAAGAAATTTGGTTTAGTTATAACTGTTGTACTTTAAAAATTAGTTAACTCTCGGAGCTCAAAAAATAAGAAGTGCCATTTAAAAATAAAAATACTTTATAACTGAAACTATTAATTCAAACAGACACTTTTTTTTTTTTAAGATTTTATTTATTTATTTGACAGAGAGATCACAAGCAGGCAAAGAGGCAGGCAGAGAGAGAGGAGGAAGCAGGCTCCCCACTGAGCAGAAAGCCCGATGCTGGGCTTGATCCCAGGACGCCGAGATCATGACCTGAGCCAAAGGTAGAGGCTTAACCCACTGAGCCACCCAGGCGCCCCTCAAACAGACTCTTAAGAGGAAAAATGAAACAATAATAGAGTAAATTTTATATTAAGTTAATAAAGTTAATTAGGTTGCCTAAGAACTACTTTGCTCTAACTATAAAATTAGGGAAAAGTGGGATAAGTCTTACAGCTTCGCTCTGAAAATGTGATCCATGATAATAAATCCTAAAAAGTAGTGAGATGGATATTAAATTTTAAAACTAAAATAAAAATGGGCTTAGCTGATATTAGAGAGGAGATATATTAAATAAGAGGAAACATATGGCTCTTACCAAGAAACTATTGCTAACATTGATGAAAGATGAAATTAGAAGGTAAATCACTTAGCAATCTACCAAAATTTAAAACATTTGATTATGCAATAGAATCCACTTGGTTAAAAAACATACTCAAAAATACAAAGATGCCGTAACTATACAGTGGTTCTGAATCACTGAGAAGGCTTGTTATTAACTCCCATTCAGTAGTAACTGGGGCCATAAAGCCTTTTTTTTTTTAAATCATACAGACAATGCCCAACTCTAAATACAATGCTTGTAATGAAATGGTCTCATAAAATAATAAAATTAATAGATGAGAGTGATCAGAAGAAAGAGGTTAACAGACACTGCTTACACTGTTTCTTCCCAATAGATATTGGCAACAGGATGGAGTGTGAAGTAGCTAAAATTACTTCAGATATTAGACTCTTAAGGGGGAAAAGAGAGCTATGAAGCTATTTAGAGCGAAATCTGATAGACTATTTGGACCTGTATTTTAAAAGTGCGTTGAGAAGCACTGTTGACAAATACTGAAATTGAGAATAAGAACTCATGAATTTTTTTCTTTTTAAGAGTAATCTCAGAGTGGAAAGTAGCATTCATATAAAACACAAATAAGCCACACACTGCTGGCATGCAGTAGCCTTACTAGGAGAAAAGATTAAGACAGAGGTTCTAAACCTCTGGTTTACACAGTTATTTCAAAGGTCCATGAATCTATATGTGCATACATGTACCGGATAACATCTGCTGTCCCCTTCAGATTTCTCTCCACCCTTCTTCATACTACTCTCTGCCCTAGGAAAACTGACCGAGATGAAATATATCAAGGCACTCCTGTACCCTCTAACTGGACTCCAGCAGGAAGTCAGAGGAAGGAAGAGTTATGTATTTTTCTGGTGTCTTACCTGTGGACTCTTCTTAGGCTCACTATGTCTTTGGAACAAAGGCAGTCTCCTATGTAGTAATCACTCTTCCAGGTTCCTATAACCCTTCCTTCCCCTGGTCCCTTCATGCTTAGGAGTGAAAACAGACTTACTGATGCTGGATCCTGTTAACACCAACCTTGGTGATTCTCCAGTATCTTGCACACACCTCTGTAATTAGTTTCTGTAAATAAACCTTCCTTAAATTATCCTACTTTGAGTATGTCAGCTGTTTCCCATAGGCACCCTGATGATATAATATACCACTTGCTAAAGAAATAATTCATCATGTAGAAGTTTACAATATTTGATATTAATGAAGTAATTCTCATAAATAGGCATTTGAAACACTGCTAATGGTTATGCAAAACAGACAACCCCTAAGAAGAGGAATGTGGCTATTGTAATAACATATATTTTACTCTCTGACCCAACCATCCCCACTTTTAGGAATTATCCAAAAAAATACAGCTCCAAGATTCAAACATCACGTGTACAAGATTCCTTATATTTGCATTATCTGAAATAGCAAAATCAGAAGCAAGTCAAATACACATCCATTGAAAGCAGGTTAACAAAATTACAGTATATCTACACAGAGGAGTTTTATAAACCCATGGGGGGAAAAAAATCTATGACCTGATATGAAATGATTTCTAGGTAAACTAGCTTAAAAAAAAAAAAAAAGTATATGTAGTGACTTAACAGTTCTGGAAAAAAGGGAAGAGAATACTTTAAAATTTTTTTTTTTCATAAAGAAAATAACCAGGGGCACCTGCGTGGCTCAGTCAGTTAAGTGTCAGCCTTCTGCTCAGTTCATGATCCCAGGGTCCTGGAACTGAGCCCAGCAGGGAGTCTGCTTTCCCCCATTCCCTCCCACCTCCACTCTCTCTTTTTCTCTCAAAAAATAAAAATCTTTAAAAAAAGAAACCAGAAAATAATGAAAACGGCTACATTTATAAAGGGAGTAGGTGGGAATAGTGTGAAAGGGATACGGATAAATATACCTCTGTATATAGTTCTGAGTCAAATGCTTTACATAGCCAAAAAAAAAAAAAAAATAGAAGTAAACAAATAAAGATTTAAAATGGGAATTTTAAAATTGAAAATAAGAAAAATAAGCCTATCTGTATACTCAAAATGCCAACACTACCAAACAAAAGAAGTAATTCAAGTATTTTTG